CCGTGGGGGAACGGGCGGGCAGGTGCTGCTGACGCGTGCGGCGTATTTGGCGCTAAGCACGGCCGAGCGCGAGCAGTTGGAGGTGAGTGCGCTGGGCGCGGTGGCGCTGCGCGGGGTGCCGAAGCCGGTGGAGATGTACCAGCTGGACGCCGTGCCGGGGCGCACCTTCGCCGCGCTGCGGCTTGACCGTTTGATGCCGGAGCTTGACGACGGCGGGGACACGTCCAGCGGCGGAGAGGCCTCCGCGTCCACCGCCAGGAGCGGCGTCTCACACACCATCGTGACCGTCTTGGCTGTGCTGCTCGGCACCTTTGCTGCCCCGCAGCGGCTGCGGGTGCTGCGGCCCCTCTGCGAGCGGTGGAGGGTCGGCGTGCCGCACGCGGTTGCAGCGACGCGTGAGGAGGACGCCTGCCGCGTGGCGATGGGGCGGCTGGCGCTCAAAATGAGCCGCGTGATGGAGAAAAGCGCCAAGAGAGCTTCACTTGACGGCGAACCACGTAAAACGTCTCTGCCGCTCATGTCTTTCTTTCGCAGTGACGATGAGCTGCGCCTATTCAACACCTCCGTTGGGGGAGATGAGAGTCTCGGGAGGCGTCAGCCACGCAGCAGCTTCAGCCAGTCGTCATTGTCCGCAATGGAGGACTCAATTGTCACCGTCCACGTTCGTCGGCGTGTGTAACTGCGGCCTGCCCCGCGTGCGTGGGGCCGCAGGCAGCGACGGTGCGGGCGTCCCCCGCGCCTGTGGAATGAATTGTTTTGCGAGCGGGGGTCCGCCTTGCGCCGCGCCTGCGTGATGTATTTGTTTGTCTGCTGAGAAGCCTCTGGGAGGGGCAGGCGGCCAGCGGAGGCCAAAGAAATGGGCGGACGGTTTGTTTGTTTGAAGATATTTTTATTTCCTGCAGGCGTTAGCTGTGCCGCTTTATGCGAGGGGCCGCGTTGGGGAGCTGGCGGGCGCAGCTCTGCCCCGCGCCGCTCAGCGAGCTCCTCGCTTGCCTTGTCTCCATACAACGCCTCTGCGTGAGTTCACGGCAAGGGCCCAGTCATTCCGGAACGCCTGTGAGTAGCAAAATTTTTTTTGTTTTTGTTTTGCTGTTTTGTCTGGGTTGGTTGGGTAGATTTCACCTCATTTGGGGGATGGCGGGCACACGGAACAGGACTACGCGCACTTCCTCTCCCTCTCTCTGTGTGTGTAGGAATTTGGGAAAAGGGCCGCATCCAAAGGGGGGACGCGGTTTAAAATGGGCTGCTTCTGTTATCCCCATTCTGCAGCCTCTTGGCGCGTGCAACGGACTCACGCACGAGTTGTATAAACGCTGTCACCCCCCCACTTTGCTGCGCTTCCCATTATTATTATTGTTGTTGTTTGTTTTTATTTTCTTCTCTTTGCTCTTCGGGGGAGGAAGTAAGTGCTGTTCCTTTTGGCGTGTGCCCAACGCAACTGGCGCCGCAGCTTGAGGTGAGATCGTCGCCGCCCCAATGGCGCTTCTAAAGCCCTTCTTCCGCGACGCCCAAAATGGGGCCGCGACGAGGGCATGTGAGCCTCTTGGATGCTACCAGCGTGTGAAGCGTTATCCGAGTGCGTGTCATTGTGCCTCCTCGTCTTGGAAAGTTTTGCCGGAGTTTTTTCTTTTCTATTGGACGCTGCGTTGGTAATAAAAGGCCGCTTTCATCCTTTACATCTCTGGATCAATGGGCTTCTAGAAACTTCCTTTGGGAGCTTGTGAGGCAGCACTGAAGAAGAAGAAGCGTCCTCGACCACCGCGGGCGTCTTTTCCCTGCCACGGTTCGGAGGCTTCTGCTGCGGCGAATGACCGCACCTGCTGCCACCGTCGCGGCAAGGGCGGCGTCGGTGCGTGTTCGCCTATTCCGCGGCGTGCATCTGTCAGTGTGTGTCTGTGTGGAGTAGTGTGAGGCAGCGTGTGGTGGCGAATGCGGTGAGAGGCACCCACCGTCTGCGTCTGTGCTCGCAAATTCCCTGAATTCGTTGCCTTGAACTGCGTTGGAGGTTTCTCTTGCGTCGTGCTCGTGCCACAAACTCGGAGGAGAGGCCCCACGCTTTTGTGCATCGCAACGCTGGCGATGGAACTTCTGACTGTTCCCACCACTATTATTATTATTATTATTCTTTTCCCCTGGGTGCCTTTGT